TTTCGGAACCTGCAAACTGAGTCAAAACTAATCACTATATCTGTTCCAGTAGTCTTTTTACTGGATAGTCACTAACGAAGAAAACTTGCCAAGATATTCATAATCTGTCTTTAATGATACCCCGCTGCAATCTTCTTCATCTGTAGGCTTAGACTGTTCCTCCATCGCTAAGCTTTCAAATCACCGTTTCATTAAAGCAAAAAAACTTGCTCACTTGCTCACGCTCAGTATTCAAAAGCCTGAAAACCTTTTGCCACTTTTATTGGATATCATACTTAAACTACTGTTTAGTCTAACATGGTATTGCATGTGCATCTGATATCCTTAAACTTCAGAAAGGATGATATTTTACATTTCTGCTACTTGAACTATTATTTTTTGCGGTGAAAACAATTACAAGTATATCAACAGACTGCTCATAGCAACTCATTTGAGTCAATATCTATGTTATCATATTCTCTTACAACAATACGAAAAACAACTAATACGATCATTAGGGCAGAAAAACAGAAAATCATTGATATATGACTTTAAGGGACTCCTGCAAAATGCAGGTGTACTTGGGTCATACACTTTACAAAGTCGCACTAATTGGTTCTAGAAGAAAAAATTCGCGAAGGCGAGGAAAGAAAGTATAACCCAACCTAAAAGAAATATCTATAAACGCTGAACACCCAAGTAACTGCCCCCAGCTCAACAGTCAAATTCTGGAAAAACCATAAGTGAGATACCAATATAAACCGCTGTCAATGTAACGTACAGACCTCTTGCTCATAAACTGTAACTCAGAAAGATTAACAGTCTTCTGAAATACGCTACTACCAATAAACGCTTACATGCATGCCAACAGACTGCGAGAATCCCGGCTCCGAAAACAGATAAAGTTGAGGTGGGGCCTAAGGCAATAATGTCACAGATGTACAGATAACACAAAAATTAATGAGCACTGCTCGCTCTTTGCAGCTGACAAGCACTAACCTCCTAAACCGCTTATACCAAAAATATCTAACGTCGACCTGCTTACCCAGCAGCCACGTTGGTTTAATGTGTTCAAAACCGAAGATATATCCTACTCCTATTTACTACGATAGAAACTATATCCCAGTCTGCTTGATAAGCAATGCAAATAGCCGCCAAATTGTTGCACTCATTTATTTTGCATCGGAAATTTTACAGTTTATCTGCATATATATGACATACTCTCAGTAAAATACCAACAAAAAAGTGCTTCTACATGCCTGCACTTCTTTTTTTCGTCTTAGTATACACACTGATAATCTATAGGATACAACGCACGCAACTACAGTGATACCTTATTTGCATACTTGACTAATATACCAATGTTACAGTTTGCACCTCTATATCAACACCCCAACACCAACCTGTCATTCTGAAAGTCTTTCAAATGCAACACATCCTTCAAAATTCACCTGAAGATTCTGGAGTAAAAAAAAGACAAAAATAAAAAATACATTTAAAGTGTGAAAGATGACAAACAAGCATTAAATTAGCGAAAGAAAGAAGGACAAATTACCATTAAATCGACTTTTCCGAGCTTTTTAACTGATCATTTTTGCGCCTTAACAAGGCTGTATA